CACACTGAGTCTGGTTCTGCAGAATGTTTCCATGCGTTAAAAGGGAGTTTTTCCTCTTCACTGTCACTACAAGCATGCTTAGTTTGAGGGATTGCCTTTGAGTCAATGAGTCGATGCAATCAGTTGTTTTTCCTTAGATAAGAAACTTTGAATCAATTTGACTGTGTGATCTGGTGAACTGTAAAGTGCCTTGAGATGACATGTGTTGTGAAGTGGCGCTAATAGGGCTGGGTATTTTCGCCAAAATCCTGAATCGATTCGATTTTGATTCATACAGTTCTAAATCGATTCATTTCGTTTCGATCTGTTTTTAGAAAGAAAGTGGTTCAACTGTTTCAAAATACTCATTTATTTTATTTTTTTCCTGTCACATTAAACACAAAGTGCAAACTTGTAAATCGCACAGTTTAAACTTGAGAACAAAATTTTCTCAAAAGCGCAAACTTTTTTGTGAAAAGTGAAAAAGTGAAGCCTTACTCAAGCAAGCAGACGTGACACAGCGGGGACACAGCAGACATGCATGAGCTGCATTATCTCCACTGCACAAACCATATGTGCAGCGTTATCTGTAACAACTACAGGGTATTTGCATTTGCATGTGAACGTCTCTCGTGTCACTATAATACAAATCGATCTCATTTCCTAGAAATCGATTTATAGGCGCTATAGAAATAAACTGAACTGAACTTGAATTGATACACACACACGTATATATATATATATATATGTATATATATATATATATATATATATGTGTGTGTGTGTGTGTGTATATATATATATATATATATATATAAGAAAAAATCTCTAATGCTGTTGCTGCTCATCTTCAATCAAAAACAAGATTAAATGCTAAGTGACAAAGCTAATGTATCCTCTAATTTCACACGCAGTTTTTTTTATTTATTGTGCTTATATCAGTTTTTGGTATCTGTGTTTAGCAGCACAGCTGGTTGTGGGAGCAGCAGCACTCACACTTACCTAAGCCCCTCTAATGAGACCCTCAGTCTCAAACTGGACGCACAGCACTGCAGCAGGCAGTAAATGTGGGTGTATTTGTGAGTGACTGGGGGTGTGTATACGAGAGCTGGTGTGTGTGGCGGCCAAACAGCATCTGTTCTTGCCTCATCCGCTGCTACCTTAGTTACCGAGATATCAATAAAAATACAGAATATCAAAGGATAATGTGAAAACTATGATGCAACAGTTTCATTTTATGCTGAGGATGATTTCCTGTATGGGGAAGTTTATCTAGTTTTGCTTGTTTCATCAAAAAAAGATTCAAACAGCATTTAAAACAGCATGGTAGTAATAGATTAGGGTTCCTAAACTGGACCAGCTGCCTCCAGACTTTTTATGGAATGAAGAATAAAAATAACTGTTGCAGCTGGAGGTTAGGAAGCGCAGCTTTAGATCAACTGATTTACATTATATAAACCAAAACTTTGAATTGTTTGTAATACAAATCCAGAATTTTAAACAGAAAACGTTGACAATAAAATGAGTAATTATTGTTTATAACATTATTTTCCCCTTTGATATGTGCTAAACAATTTTTTTTTCTTCTATGAAGTGAACCAGTAACTTATGTAATCTTCACAGCTATGATTAATGTTTGGAACTGTTTGGGAAAGTTTCACCAGCTTTAGTGAAGAAAAAAATACCTCCCAGCTGGCTGAATGAATCGACTATTACATGAATTACCCAGAGACCCAGTGATTGCTTTTAAATTGGTACTTTTTGTTTATTTTAATTGGAGGAGAGATGGTTATTCTGCATCTATAAGAAACATGATGATTTAGTTGGAGGAGCCAAATAGCTGCACATGTTTAAACACTCCTCACATTATTTTAGCTCCTGTTCTGCTGTTTAATGATTCTTTATCAAAACTAGATTCTTCTTTTAACTTTAAAAATACAGCTTTTGAAAAACAATAAAATAAAATGGTTTCTTTTGAGGTTAAATAAAATAAAAAGCAAAATCTTCTACATATGGTTTTACAGGTTTGGCTTTTATTTTCCTTTCTACCTTTCTATTAGTTTTTTTATAAACAAAAATAAGTCTGGTTTTCAAAGGTTTTTAAAAGGAATCCCACAGGGCGCAATTTGAAGCCCATCTCCTTTTTTATGTTTATTAACATGAGCCATGTTTCAAGGTAAAGTGCTCCTTCATGCAGACAATAACATACTTAACGGAGTTTGCGGTACTAAAATGATAGAAAGTCGACAGGCTTCAAACTTTACTGAGGCTGCTGCAAGCAATTCTATACGTCACTGTTTTTAAGGTAAACAAAAACATTTTTGGGGGTTTTTGGTTTGTTTATTTTTATTTTTTTTATATGTTTCTACAACGCTGGTACTTTGAGTCCGGAACGATGGCTTATCAAGAGATTATCAAGTTGGGCCCAATCAATCTGATAATATTGATATTTAATTTAGCACTTTGGCCTCCCTTACTTTATAGGCCTTGTTAAGTTTTAATTTTTATGGTTTCTGACTTTATGCTGACATCATCTAAATCCCTTATGGCAGATCCTTAATATGGTAGAGCGTCCGGCACCAGGCTACACTTGATACAAATGATCCAATGAGCTGCTGTCAGTCTGGGTTGCTGCTGCTGCTACTTTTAGACACAGCAGGGAAACCTGTGGCAAGCCGGGTGATGGGAAAGAAGGAGAAGATGAAGAGAAAAAGAGAGCAGAGAAAGTGTGGACTGTTGGAAGAACTGTGGTGAACTGGTGAAAGAAAAGTGAAATGGTGTGCTCAAAGGTGACCCTGCACATTTTGAGTATGTTTGGCTCAACCTGCTGCTGTGAAGCAGGATTCTCCACTATGAACATGTTTAAAGCCTTGCAGGGCAGCATAAAGCCCACTGCTCTCATTAAGCCAGAAAAAAGAAAGAAAGAACTCTACTTAAAAAACAATTTAGATTTTAAAATGGAAAAAATTCTATATATATATATATTTATTTATTTATTTTTTTTTTTTTTAAGTCTGTGTATAAAATGGATGCATAAACACCTTACTTTGAATCATCTGACTGTGTGATCTTGTGAACTGTGCCTTAAGGTGACATGTGTTTGTGAATTTTATTTCATTGTTAAATTCTGTTTAAAGTAACAGATTATAATAAAAAATGTCTCCAGACCTTTACCGATTGTTGATTTTCTTTATTTGGACCCTGCTGGTTTTTTATTGGTAACCCCTGTCTTATGGGTTCTTCTCCAGTGTTTGGCAAGTTACATAAAAAAAGTACATAATTTGTTACTTTTCCAAAACAGTGGTTCAATTATAGAATATAAGGTGTATGTTATGAATTCATAAATTAAATAAATACACCTCTGAAAAAATTAAAAACTAATCTGCACTTTTGGTGTTCTGGTTTAACAATTTAAGGTTTAATGTAGATGTGATGACGTTTCTTGTTTATAGTAAAAGAGAAATATATATATATATTCTTTTTTGGTGCATTTACTGCCTTTAATTGGCTATAGAATAGGTAAGAAGCTGAAAAACAATGCTTTTCAATTAACTTAACAAAAACAAAATATATATTCAATAGAATTAAACACGGGATACACTATTCCAGAAAAAAAAAACCCTAGCAGGAATGTATGATCCCAGGATTTTTGAATGCTAGTAAAATCACCATAGCCATGAGAAAGTAAAGAGCATTTTTGATTAAAGCAGTCAGGGTAAAGATGATGCGAGGAGCCTCTTGAAACTCCAGCTTCTAACCGATGTTTATAAAGTCTCTGTTCCCGCACATAATCAGCAAATCACAACAATATTAAGGCTTCAATGAGCGCTTTACTGCAGGAACACTGTCACTGAATCAGTGGATCTGCGCCATGGTCTCTCCTCTGTGTTCATGGTGAAGTTAAGCATAGCTGCTGCATGCGTCACCATCTTCTGCTCACACCAGGAAACTGTAGTCCTCATTAATACATGGTAACGAATAACGAATCGATCTAAAGCCCAGCAATAAGTAATGCGTTACTGACTTTTAGTATCTAATTAGTTACAGGGCTAGTTACTGGAAAAAAAAACATTGTTACCGTAACATATTACCTAATGAGTTTTCCCCAATACTGATCTTCTCTGTTTATCTTCTGGATGCATTTTTGGTACAGATTAATTGCATATAACACATCACTGTGTATTTCATATCCTGGTTTCTTGGCTCCCTTTAAGCAGTGGAAGACAACAGCACCGCTGTATATCATGATAAAGCTTTGCTGAGGTAACCGTTCTCCTGTTAAACGACACTATTTGCAGGATTTCTGGTGCTTAAACTAGCAACTCTTTGAGTGCCAAGACTTTTTTAGAACTAGACAGAGCTCTTCTTTTTTCACTCAATCTGGTCACTTATAGAGAATATTAAAAGCTTAATACCTTCATCTCTCCAGGAGAGCTTAAAGCTCCCTTCTTTTACTGAGGAGAGCAAATGTTTTCCAACAGAAGTGATTACCAGACATATCAACAGCTGATATTAAAATCACAAAACTCTAGGTAGCGGATATCTTCTTTTTATCTCTATGTATTTATTTGTTATGCACCATCTATTTCGAGTATTAGTTATCAGGCATATTCCGTTAAAACCAGTAAAAATACATTAAAATAAAAAAAAGGGCTGTTTTCCTACCTTGCGGTTACTCTTCCACATATACTTCATGTAAGCGTAAGTAACATGCGGGTGGGTCGTAGGAAGCGGGTGGTCCAGTTGTTTGGAGGGGTCAACACCCAACAGGAGCACCAGAGTCTTGTGGGCAAGTGCCTTAAAGGATATAAAGCAGATGAAGCACAATTTGAATGAAATTTCCTTACAAATAAATTGAAGAGAGCTTTTTTTGTTTTATTAGAAAAAAATATATAGAGAAAAAATATTGAGCTTCAAAATAAAGAATTTTTCAAAGCAAAACGAAGAATAAAAAAAAGAGTATGGAAATAAAATTTTACTGAATTACATAAAATCGTTAAGGTTATTCTTTTTTTTTTTAAATCACAAAAATCCCACATAGTCATTTTTACTGGTGATGTAATGCATGTTTCCCTTTACCAATTCCAGCACACTGAGTGATGCTGGGTTCTAAACGTGTGTGGTCAAATTTAACAAGGCATTCTTTCATCTTCTCAAACTTATTGGAATACCAGAGAGGTTTAATACGGAGCAAATACTCTGCTTTCACTAGGAATATCTGCAGTTTCAAGTTTCCAAACAGCGTGACTGATGGTGCTTCACTCCTTTAATTACCAGGAGCTTAGAAAGGACTTAATTGAAGATGAATCTATGGCTGTGCTTCACTTTTGAGCCATAATATAATTTCCTGTTAAATAAAGCTAGAAACCTATTTCTCCTGATTGTCAAACTATGATAATTAACAGAATTCAGAAGAGCTTGAATAAATATGTGAAAGCACCGACCAGGCGTAAGCTCTTTCCACAAAGGCTGGCGTATTTTAGCCAAGTCCTCATATCCTCATGGGGGCTGATGACCAGAGATCGGACCATCAGGATTCTCTGCCAATCTTCTACGATACGCTGACAACCCTGAAGAAAAGGAAAAAAACACAAAAGCACTCATTATTGATTTGTTGTGCTTTAAAACTACAAAATTCACTGAAAGGAGAGTAATATCCATATTCATGACCCTGTTTCTCACACAGAAATATTTCAGCATATATTTAAATGAAACTACTTTGGTAAATCATTTTAAAAAAGTCAACTGCACTTCTATGAAACAACCCCTCAATTATCACAATATATGGCTGGGCTGCAAGGTTAGAGAACAGGAGTTACTTAGAAGTAATGGTTGAACATGATGTATAACATTCTGCATATGGTTTATGTGTCTTTAAAAGTTTAAGGAAATATTAACAGTGGACTAATAGCCAGGCTGAAACAGGAAGGTGACTCTTCTTTTTGGAAAACGTTTCATTCAAACCTAATTTATATCAGCCTAAACTCGTTAAAACATCCCCACAGTGCCTTCAATGCAGCTGAAAATACAGACAGGAAGACAAACATAAAACCACCTTCTGGGATCCACAAATCCATGAATGTGACCCAGTTCCTGTTTGAATGAGGCTCATTGGCTGCACATTTTACGGTAATAACGTACAAACACAGTAGGGGAGAGAAACTGAATGAGTTCCTCTTCCGTGACTAGAAAAAAGTTTAAGTGATGACCAACAAAAGTGATGCCTTAATAGGAAGTGGAAAATAGCATCAACTTCTAAGTCTTACTATATGACTAGTCCATTCTAACACAGTGGTTTGAACTGGCGGTAGGTGACCGGTTGTTTGGGGTTATGATCCTCCTGAAAGGGGAACTTTTTAAGGTTTTCTGCTGCCTCAAACTGATTTTCTGTCTGGGCTGCTCTGCATTGAAATCCATCTAACGACCAATTAAATCCTTCCCACTGCATCATCCCACCTTCACCATGCTTTATGCTGGGGCTGTGGGTGCAAGGTGGTGAGTAGTTTTTTTTCCATATAAAAAGCCTGATCTTCAAAGATTGCATATAAGAGGTGATTATTTTCTAGCGCCTTTTATATGATCACATTTTCTTCAGGAAGTTTGAGACAGGCTGAAAAAGAAAGATGAGGTTCCAAGCCATGAAGATGGAGGTAATTCTAATAATCATTAAATCAAATAATAATAAATTCTGATACAAAATAATATTTAGAGAGCAACTGATTTCTCAAATATAAAGAATATAATCCCTGTTGCCAAGAGGTGATGAAACAGTCTTTTGGATTGTGATAGCAAACCCCTTTGGAGCACCAGATTGATGTCATGAAATTACTTATAAATAATAAATGGCTAAATACCCACCTATAGCTTAAATCATACATCAAAGAACCAAAAATATGGCTGATCAGGTAAAAGCTGTGTCTGATTTGTTGCCAACAGCTGTTGCTAAATAAGCTGTTTTGTTTAAGCAGAGCTCAAACTGCTGTAAAACTCAACTCTGAGTCACATGAAAAATTCAGCAACGGATCAGAAGCTCTTAAGTAACATAGGTGTTTTTTGTTTTTCTTTAGTGAGCATCAATAGTGCAGAAGATTGATGGGAAGAAGTTAACCTGTGCAGGTCAGTGATCACGTTTTGAGCAATACCTCTGCCATGTCCTTCAGATCGAGGCAAAGAGGGTTACAGTATGTAGTGGAGATATATTCATTATATAAATCTAAGCAATGAACGAGACACGACTTCTTTCGAAGCTAATGCTTACTGGTCTCAAGCGAAATCCGAAAAACCCCATTGCCTGTACCTCTACTGTAAACAGCACACCCTTGTGGACAAGTCATGCTCTTGAACTGCCGGTTATAGTTTTCTTTCATTTCATATGGTCTAATATCGTCAACTGTCAGCAGCTGTTTTGTTAAAATATATGGGAAAAGAGTTAGCTAGTTAAACCTATATGGGCTTCAAAGCCATTCAAAACTAAACTTTCTTTTTTTTTTTTTGAGGAAAGCCATTTTCAGAATCAGATTCAGAATGTTTTCCTTCCATTGTTGATTAAAAGAATTCACAAACAACAAACTGCATTGGCTTAAAAGATGCATAAAAGATAATACAATTAAATAAAATGGATATACCGTAAATTCTCTAATATTGGCCTGTATTCCAATAGCGGCCGGGACTCTAATAATGGCCGGTCTTGCTGTCAGAGGAGGTAAATAATGGCCGGTCTCTAATACAGGCCGGGGCTATAAACGTTTTTTCTGGGCATACCTCAACATTATACTTGTGGTAGTAACATACAAGTACCACAGCCCTGCGCAGCTGAACGACAAGCCCTGCTGCTGCCCGTCTGCGCGAGGAAGAGAACAGACACGCAGCAGAACATGAGGAGCAGCGCGAGTGATGAGGAGAATAAAGGGAGAGATGAAGAGGAGGAGGAAACTGAGGAGGAGAATTGAACAGAATTGGAGGATTTTTATTATTTTTTTTACTTCAAACCAAGCGAGACATGGTAACTGTACTTTTTCAATAAATGAACCTAGTGTTTTATAGGTTCAAATAGACACAAAATCTCATTTTTATTCATTCCACTGGTAGTCTGTTTTGCTCAAATAGCAATAGAGGCCTATCTCTAATACTGGCCTCTATCCAATAAAGGCCTGGACCGCGATGCACTTGAGTGAAATAAAGGCCCGGGCCTATATTAGAGAATTTACGGTATTAATGCCTTATGCTTAGTTACGTTTGACACATTTAACTGGAAGTGGGCGGTCCACATTGCTTAATCCATTGGAGGCACCGCTCGCGTTGTGTTTTCAGCTTTGGGAACGGAAAAAAAAAAACCATCCAGATATTCTCGTAGGGTATCTAATATTGTCACAGTTTTGGTTCTGTTTAAGTTTTCTTTTAAGTTTACAGTTTCACTTTGATCCATGTTTTTCTAGTTTAATTGGTAATTCGTATTTTGTGGTGTTTTCTGAATGTATTTGAGTTCTTAGGTATTTCTTGATTGCCCTCTGTTGCAGTCTTGAGTTGGTCTCCTTTTCTCTAGCTCCTTTCTAGACACCTCAGTTCACACCTGCTCCCAATCAGCTCAATAGTCCTGTCGTTGTTCTGTCTCCTATATATACTCTACCCGTGCAGTTCCTCAATGCTGGTTCCTCGTCTTTTCATGGCTCCTCATGTATGTTTTCCCTGAAGTCTCCAAGGTTCTGTTTTTTTCTGTATTTTTATGTTGGATTTATGGATTTCTGCCTCAGTTGCCTGTGATTACTTCATTAAATCTACGAAACTCATCTCTGCCTCAACTTCTGCATTTGAGTCCTCAAAACCTCAACCAACCGTGACGAGTATCTGATTTTAAAATGCCCTCGGAGCGCCGCTACACCGTCTTGCTTGGGGTCAATTATTGTCGGGCCTGCTCACATAGTAAATGTTGCTATGATGTGCGACTGGACATTGGATATTTTGGGGAAGTAGCTGGTGAGAGGTCAATTAACACTTCCAATCAAGTTAATACTTGGATCAGAAGTTACAGAGTGTCATTTTAAATAAATTGAATTGTTTTCAGAAAAATGGGAGTAAATCCTGATAACCAAGCGCCACACAGAACTGATCCTGCTAAATATATTAAAAGCTGCTGATTGTGTGGCAGGGAGACAGACAGCTCTTCACCAAGCAGTGTAGGATTCATGGCTCCCACTGATTTGTTATTTATAGAAACATCATTTGGAAACAAATCAGCCCAGAAAACAGACTGAGAATGGATCAACCTCTGAGATACTGCTGTGTGTCTCGACATGCCCGCAGAGTGGATGTTTTTCATTAGTATCAGTAGCTTTCCCAACATCTGCTTCACATTGCATGTCTGCTTTTGCACACGTGAGTGTGTATGCGTGTTTTCTGTGCATCATGTGCGGTAGTTACCTGAAGCCTCTCCCACCACGTTTCCCTGATGATGTCTCTCCTCTCTGGCACCAGTTTGTATTGGATCACTTCCTCCAGCTCAGACAGCATCTGGCAGGACACCATGGCCTGAGAAGCAAACAAACACATTATCTTCTTCTTCTTTACACTCAAGCTACACAAATTACTCAAGTTGCAACTTTCATATTGTGCAGATAAAGACACGTGTCTCATCTGCAATGTATGAAAGGAAAATCAACAAGTTTTAGACAAATAAAACAGTTATTCTTCTTGTGGAAAACGAACGGTTGTTGACACAAAGTTAAAAGTAGTGTAGCTTAATGTGGCTAACTGACCAAGCAAAAAGAGGCTAACCTGTTAGCTACTGAGCACAACTAGCCACAGAGCTACCTAGCTCTCCCCCTTGATACATGGCCTTGCAGTTACTTTGTTCACCATAAACACTTTTTTTTCAGCTTTTTTATCGATCAGGTAAAACGTCATCGGTCATTAGGGAGGCTAACGGACGCTGCATGATGTTATTATCATTGTCTGGGCAACCACAATGTTTTACAGGGTTGTCAGCCAATCATGTAGCATAACGTCCCTGGCATGTGCAGGGCCCAAACAGATCTGACCAACCGAGCAGATCTGGTACCTACACCGGTTTTAGAAACAATATAGTCTCCAGCAGAGATGACTGATGACAATTGGTTAAGAAGATCAGCTGCAGTATATAAATGACTCATAAAAGGATCTAAAGGTTCTCATTATAAGACCTGTTATTTATTCTTAACAGATAATCTAAAGTATTGTTAAACAAACATACCCAAACAGGATGAACCTTTTTAACTTAGTGGAAACGCGGGTTTAAGACAAACTTTATTGACTCATTTAGTCGACAGGATTTCAGGGAGAGCTGCGCACTGGGCTAGTCGGCGAGGCTACTCTGTTTTGGGCATGTTGTAGCCCTAGACACCAAGAGAAGAACGAGTGGGTATCTACCCCAGCTATGAGATCGCCACATATGCAGGCTCTAGCAGGTGGCCGGACCTTGTCCATGATGAGTACAAGTTCAGGCTTCTTTGTAAGCTTCGTAAATTAAAAAGCAGCTAGTTTCATTACTAATTGCAACTGCAGCTGTTTGGTGGCAGACCAGCATTGGAAAAGAAGGATTCAGAACAGCAGAATAACGACACTGAGCAGCTATCGGCGAACGAGTTGTTTGCTCGCTCTGTGAACAGTTAAGCTAGCTCAATACTTGCTTTATTAGCTGTCCGAGTATGCTTTTAGGAGCGAGAAGAGATGTTAGACTGAGGAACACCAGGGAAATGTCGGGTTCTTATACCAGGAGGAAGTCCCTCCCCTAGTGGCAGATGTCCCTATCGTTGGCCAGTCATGACTGGCGTAATGTTACAGACATTCTGGAGACAATGCTGGAGGCATGTCCCACAGTGAGATACCAAAACCAAAGGATGAAAGAATTTATTGCTAAAGATCTTCTTCTTTTGCCTCCATCTCTGGCAAACACTTACCCCATAGGCTCGACTGTAGCTCTCTCCAGCCATGGCTGTCAGCTCAGCATCCAGAAGGTCTCTTGCTTTGTCAATACACTATATTTAAAAAATAAAATAAAAACATATACGTTATATTGTGTGAATTTCATACAGTGTATTAACCTTACAATCTTAAATCAGAAAAAAATGCAGTTAAGGACAAACTTTCACTAATGCTGGTGAAGATTCTCAGTCAAGTTAAAAAAGAATCCACTGGACTTTATTTTCAAGTTTGAAGACGTTTCACTTCCCCTTCAGGAAGCTTTTTCAACTCAAACTGTTAATTCAAAGGAATTCTTTCCCGCTATCATCGCAATCCCCACCCCCATCGAGGGAACCCAAACACTGCCTGTTTCAGCCAGGCAAACAATCCCCCTTTCAGAAACATAGACAGGTATCTGGTATTACAGGCTGAGAAAGAACTCAAATAACCCCCCATTCCAAAGGGGCGGACCTGTTCGTCCGGTTTAATTTGAATGTTTTCTAAGCCAAAACAAGGCTTAGTTTTTGGTCCACTCTATAAAGCTTTAAACTCAACACTATGTCTGACATTTTGAATTGGAAAAGCTTCCTGGATGGGAAGCAAAACGTCTTCAAACTTGGAAACCTTTCACAAATGATGTTCCTATTAAAACTTGGAAAGGTCAAAAAGAAGATAACACTCTTGCAATCATTGCCTTAAAGTCCAAACAAATTTTCTGGATCACATTGTTTTTTCAATACAAGTTAAAAAACCTTGAGCTTCACTTCAACATATATTCTGATCCAACTCATTCTTACAGACCAATATCCCAACATCTTGACTAATGGTATTTTCAGGCCTTTGACCAGTTTATGTATCTTTGTCTTGAAACTAATAAACTAAAAAATAGATCAGGTTTTTGTTAAGTTTCCTGAAGTACCTATATCTATTCCCAAGTGCCTCAGTATAAGACCAAAACCTTTTGATTAAGAAGGTGCACAACAGGGTCGTCTACTTAGACTCCTACTTTGATTAAGGTATCAAAAGCCCGCAATGTTTTGAAAACATTTAAACCTACCAAAGTCTCTTTTTATGCAGAGGACAAGTCAACAATTACTTCCAATACTAATACATATCAAATACTGTTTGGTGATTATTTAAACAGTTTGATTACTTTAAAGAGTAAAAACCATATTATCAAAAAGGTTAAAATTTTTCTTCAAAAAAGAGTCATGCTACGTTCACACTGCAAGCAGCAGAGGCAGCAGAAGCAGCTAGTTTACATGCATAGTCAATGGTTGACGCGCATCTTGGCGCAGTAAAAGGTCCTGCAGCGCGTCTGAGTAGGCAAAGCAGCACCTCATGAACTTCTGAGCATCTCACGTGCGCAACGCGCTTCAGAAGCAGCATCTGCTGGAGTTGGAGAAGTTTTACTTTTGCTGCTCGACCCACCACATCAACCAATCAGAAAGCTGGGAGCTGTCAGGGAGACAGACACAGTACTTCTGATGCAGAGCGCTATGATCACTCCTCTGAAACAGTTTATTAACGCCTAAATTAACTTAAAATGCCAAAATCTGCCCGCAAAACATGTTCGATTATATCATCCTGATGCCTGCAGTTTGGATTATGTAAATGAGAAACACCAACATCAAATTCTAGCCGCCGAGAACATTAGAGTAAAACCGTGAAGAGGAAACCGGGCCAGAGGCTGCTGTTGAACAGGATTCCTAATAACAGCGCACCGCCGGTGTACAGGGGTCTGAGTAACTCCGACAGCAAAATAATATTGAAGGCAGGATCGTAATCTGGATGAACAGACTGCAAAGAGGAAGTTTTCAGGTGGACTTTTTCACTTAAAACATATTAAAACTAATTTTTATCCACTGATCACAGTATATATAGCAGCCATTGTCATGGGCAAAGAAAGGATAGGGTAGCTCCGCCCGACGCGCATCAGACCCACTTTTCGACCGCAGAACTAGAGCAGCAAAGATGCTTCAGCTGCATGTCAAAACTAAACTTGTACAAACGTCAGAAAATAAGCAGCACACGCATTTTTGCTGCTCCTGCTGCTTACAGTGTGAATTTAGCATAAATCAATAAAGACTAGTTACCTATCTGGGAATCACATTTTCAACATTACTACAAAATGTTTTCTCCTTAATTAGTTATGAACGATATCAGATATTCTTACTATCTTTTGTGTTTAGATTGATAAGAACCAATTTTAATTCTTATTATTTTAATTAATCTTAGTTGCGTAATTTCATTTTGCATTTAGAACCCAGCACAAGAGAAATCACACAAAAAAAAAGTAGTTCATAAAAGAAGTGTGGAAAGCTCATACCTAACTTCTGTTTCTTCTTACTGGGTGGCTAAAATCCTTTCCTTAAACTACCGAGAAGATTTTTGTCCTAAGTAATAAATAATTAAACTCCAACATTCAAAATATTTTAGTGAAACAAAAAGCTTGTATTTCTTTGAAAAAGCATGACCCCAGAATGAACAACATGATTCCAGATTAGCTTTTCCTGAACATTTCTCCTTTAAAACCTTCTGAAATTTGGATTCTTGCCTGGAAATAAAACGTTTTGAACCAATAAACGGAGGTATGTCATTACTTGATGCCCATGTCCTTAAAAGCCAAAAAGTTTGTCAGCATTAAGATATTTGTGAAACAAAACCTGAAAGCCTGCTTGTTTAGCGCACAGCCAAATCTTTTATAAGGAGAGTTAGATGAAGTGCTGAGAACAACCATTCAGAAGTTATATAAGCACAGGCTGGATGACAAATGGACTGCAGAAAGCTGTCTAAAATGTTCACACATTGAAAGCTGAAGAGAGGCGAGGTAGAAGGTGACAAACTGAAAATGAAAAAAGAAGAAAAAAAACATTGTCACTGAGAAAAACATATTTAGGGCCCAACCGTCAGTTAGCACAGGATGTTTTGCTGTAGCAGTGTATTCTGAGTCATTTTCTGGTAATAATGCACTCATTCACATCTACTGATACTGCAAACAGCCCATCACCAATGAGTACACTGTGGAGCGGAAAGAAAAATGGCTCCTGGGGGAAAGAAGTGGTGGAGATAAGCAAAAAGGGACAAATAAGGACACAAACATCAGTGATAAAACTTTTTTTGGGCCTTAACGGCCGAAGCTGTTGGGAGCTGTTATTATCGGGTGAAGAAAATAAAGGAGAAAAACTGAGGAAGCTCTCAGGGGCCAGGGCACACAGCTGTTTCAGACCAACTCCCACCAATTATTTTTTCACGGGGATGGAAAGGAGGGATGGCATGCCAAAACACCTCCTGAGGCATGCATAACAAGAGGTGGGGTTAGGGGAGAGGGCTTGATACGAGGTGACAATGAGGCTGCTTCTTTATGGTCTCCACGCAGTTATAGTCCTGTTTACTCCCGAATTACTGAGCTGAGGCCGAGCTGGAAATGTGCAGTCCAGACGACTCCCGATAAATGCAGTGTCTGGCTTCTGAGGGGAGCACAAAACAGCATCTAACCAAATCTTCTGTTCCTTTATATAAAGGCCCAGTATTTACATAAGCTTAGTGTTCTATGATGTAACTTTATCATTAGAGGCATAAAGACAGAAGGGGTTAGGGACAAAAGTGGCTTTTTAAATATAATAACCAACAGTTTTACAATTGAACTCACAATTGGAGACCTGTGTTCTCCATAAATTTTATAGCATCAACATGCAGCCCTCTGAGAAGACACTGAAAATATAGTGTGATGGAAAGGCATGACACTTTTCACATTTTTAACCTTCCAGGCAGTAATTTCAGTGTAACTTATTATAATCTTGGGAAACAAACAACACAGAGGAGTGCATCATCGGGGAGTAGGACAGACATTTTTTTTTTTTTTTTTTTAAACAAGCTGGTTTACATTTTCAGTCCCCTTTTAACTGATCTTGAAATTTAATTTCCCTGCATTAAGCTGTTATGTACAGCTGTGTTCTCTCTGAAACGTAAACCAAATAAAATCCATTACAGTTTGTTGTTTTAATATGACGAAACATGAAAGCATTCAAGGGGCACTTTATGTCAAACAGACGTCAACCCAAGATCAATTTCCCACCAACACCCATGGAGGACATGTTTGGATGTCAGGGATGCAAAGACACGAAAAGTAGCAGCCATCTGAATAAAAGGAACCTCTGTGTGTGAGGATTAAATGCTGCATCCGGAAAACTAAACTGCTCACGGTGACGTTTAAGCCCCAACTCTTTGCTCTATATGCATTTCAAGCCTATGCTCTTTTATGTCGGCTGCAGCTATTCTTTTGGCATTAAGCAGATTCAGAATACTACAAGCCACACCTGGACGTAATCACGAAATTAGAGGGAGAGATCTGCTGTGATGAAGGAGGGGGGAACGGAAAGCAAATCTCCAGGGCTTAGAGTTGAAGAGAGGGCTGGGAGGACAAGGACAGGGTAATTGGATGAGCAACTGTTTACTGTTGTCGCCTCCCGAAGCGTGCTTGTTGGGTGTGCCGCCATCCATTTTAAACACATGCAGCTCTGGGGAGTCTGAGCTCATCTACAATCCCTAACCTTTGTCAAATTGGAAAGAAAAAAAAAAACTGTCTAACCTCCATCAGACCTTGTTAAAAAGCACACGAGGGGAGTCACATGCAGTAGCAGCTGAATGCTGTAATGGTTTACGATTACATAACGAGCCACACGGAAAAGGAGGGGAAAGAATAAACAAAAGCGTTTTATTAATACTATCCAAACGTAGGAGCTGATGGTGAGAGTTCAAGCCTCTCCGGGCAGCAGCATGGCCAATAAAATGGTAATAATAATATTAGTCATAAAGATGAAACACATTTCCACAAGCTTTGAAGTCCACATAGATTTCCAAAATGCACACATTTTTATGAGAACACTTCCAGAAATAATAGCTTTAAAGTACATCCTGTTCACATGATGTCACCCACCTGCTGGGCCAATGAGAAGAGGTCCTGATGGAGGGCTAAAACGGCTCTATAGAAGGCACCATCGTGTGTGTCTCTTGGGATCATACAGGTGTACTCCTCCATGCTATCCCAGTGACCTGGAGAGACAGAGATGGATGGATGGATGGATGGATG